TGACAATGAAGAGGACGACGGCAGTCAAAATAATTGAAGCCAAAGTGAAAAGGTAATTACCAGTCGTTACTTTTGGTAATTACTTGGCGACTTCTCTCCCTTCTCACTTAAAGACTATTTTATTCCATTTCCAAACAATGTGAAGTAAGTGTTTAAAAGAACAATGGAATTCTTTTCTGAAAACTCATTGTTTAAGACAATTTTTTTGAGAAAAACTACTCAGTTTTTATCGGTATCATCAAGACTTTTTGGTTTAGAGTTCTTAAAAAATATATATATTCCTTTTTAATTCTTTTTTTTTTCATAAGATTTTCCAATGGCTTATGAAATGTTTATTAGATTATATGAGCCTTCTAGACAAAGTATTATTTTCGTAGCAGTCATATAATGAGTTACGTAAGAAAATATTATGTGGTGCGCTAAAAATTAGTTTCACGCATAGAAATATATGAATGAACTTGACCAAAAAGCGCTACGTTATCACCTGTTCTTGATTGCATATGCGGACCATATATTACAAAATGTACTTATTTAACTAAAATGTGAGTCGTTTTTGTATTATAAGTCACATGCTCTTGTATCAGAAGACGAGTCGAATAGCTTCGTTTAAATTTTGAATTAGATTTAGAGTTATTAAATTGCATATTTTTTTTTCTTTAATTTGTTTTTTGAATCATGAATAAGTCATCAATATTAATGAATAAGTCATGAGTAAGCCTAAGTAGGGTTAATTTAGTGCTGATAGTAAAGTAATTTACAAAACACCGATGTAAATCAGACTCGTTCAGTGCTCTAAAAAAGGGGCCACTCTGAATAACGTTTGATCTAGTGATCGGATCTTAACGTTCTAGACCTCAAATATGCTAATATATTAGCGCAGGCGATGTTTAAAAATACAAAACCAGACACGAAATCGTACTTTCTCTGAATAAACATCCCTTTTTTAAAGAAGTTGTATATTAAAGAAGTCATTGAATTTTAGAGAAGTCGTATATTTAAAATTCAATTCCTCAGGAACTATTTAATCGATTTCGCTCAAATTTCGTATTTTGCAATTGAAAATTACATACTTTAAAACTACGAAAAAAAATTGTGCACCTTTAAATTCCAATATATTTTGACTATTATTAAATATAGCAATAAAAAATTATAAATATTTACGAAAATTTATTTTTCGCATGGAATTATATTTGGATAAACAAATTGTATAATTGTGAGCAAAATTTTTTCAATTCGCTTAAAAAGTTCTTGAGATATGGTGAATATGCAAAAAGTAAAATTAACATTAAGGGGTTCACACTTCAGATCGCTTTCTTGACCAAACTATATGGACTTTCCAAGATTACGGATCTATATTTTGGGGGTCAAAAATTCAAATCTGTCGAAAAATAATGTGTTTTTTTTCAGAAAAAGTACGGTTTCGTGTCTGATTTCGTAACTTAAAATATCATCTGCAATAATTAATTAGCGTATTTAAGATCATCCTCTTGAACCATTATGAATGAGTCTTGGAATGTGAAAATCAGGAGACTTGTTTATTTGGATTTACGGCGTTTATTTTTCTATATATAAGTTTTTTTTTAGTTTAACATAATAAAACATTTTTATGAATAAAATGTGTTGCTGATAAAACAAAATGCAATATCAATATTGAAAAACACATTTTCTTACTTGCGTTGAATACCTTGTTTTTGATTAATGCTATGGATAAGTATATTTTTTATTTAATTTAAGCAAATAAACTTATTTTTAATTTATCTTATTTTTAGTACATTTTTACCTTAACGCAACAGAATATTATTATGCATAAAAGCTATAAATGAGCATATCTTAAGTAAAAAGTGGCAAAATAAATTTACGTAAAACAATTTTATTTATTAGTGCTGTATGTGTTGCTTTTTACTTTTTTTTGGAAAAGTATATTTTTAGTTTAATGTAAAAACCTGAGTAGATATATCATATGCTCATAATAAAACAAAGTAAAGTAAATTTATTTATTGGATTTACTTTTCTGTATATAAGTAAATTTAAATTAAACGTAACAAAATATTCTTATGTATAAATTGAAAAAAGTTTATGTATAAAGTGCTTAAAATATTAAAATGTGTTTGTAAAATAAAGTATAAGCAAACTTATTTATTTGGGCTTTGCTTCGGATAAGTGTACTTTAAATTTAATGTAGCAATATATATCATGCGCTTTTAATAAAACAAAGTATGATAAACAATATAAAAGATATTTGCTCATTTGGGCTTATTGCGTTGTTTGTTTACTTCTACGTAAGTACAATTTTAGTTTAACGTATCAAATTTGGTTAAGATCTAATTTTCGGTATTATAGTATTTGTTGCTACAGTAGCAACTTCCGTGCCTCAAACTAACTGAATATCCTGAATTTGTTGAAGATTTTTTAATAAAGCCTATTGAAGATTTTTTAACAAAGATTTTTTAACTTATTTTTAATTTAACTAATTTTTAGTACATTTTTACCTTAACGTAACAGAATATTATTATGCATAAGAGTTATAAATGAGTATATCTTAAGTAAAACGTGGCAAAGTAAATTTACGCAAAACAATTTTATTTATTAGTGCTGTATGTGTTGCTCTTTTTTTTTGGAAAAGTATATTTTTAGTTTAATGTAAAAACCTGAATAGATATATCATATGCTCATAATAAAACAAAGTAAAGTAAATTTATTTATTGGATTTACTTTTCTGTATATAAGTAAATTTAAATTAAACGTAACAAAATATTCTTATGTATAAATTGAAAAAAGTTTATGTATAAAGTGCTTAAAATATTAAAATGTGTTTGTAAAATAAAGTATAAGCAAACTTATTTATTTGGGCTTTGCTTCGGATAAGTGTACTTTAAATTTAATGTAGCAATATATATCATGCGCTTTTAATAAAGCAAAGTATGAAGAACAATATAAAAGATATGTGCTCATTTGGGCTTATTGAGTTGTTTGTTTACTTCTACATAAGTACATTTTTAGTTTAACGTACCAAATTTGGTTAAGATCTAATTTTCGATATTATAGTATTTGTTGCTACAGTAGCAACTTCCGTGCCTCAAATTAACTGAATATCCTGTATCTTTTGTGGAAGATTTTTCAACAAAGCCTCCGTTAGTGCGGAAAAGGACTATTCATATCATCATTTTCGACGATATGTTCGCAAACAGTCAAAGGCGTTAGCCGAAAAAGATTGCTTTTTTTCCCAAAACAATAGTCCAAAAGAAAGAACTTTGCGAACGGTAGTTTTTTTTCTCTTCTTTTACCATTGATATCGATTGGATGTATGATAAGAGTGGAGCGTCTACTTACTGTCACCAGAATGTGTATAAGAAACGAGAATAAAAGAAAGGAAGGTGCCACATACAAATATCTAAAGAAAGCAAACAGCACATAAAAGAACGGAAAAAGCGTTAGTAATGAAGGAATAAAATTACTTCCCAACATTCCTAATATTACATGCCCTAGGTAACGATAACAATTAATCCAAAAGATCCTTTTTTATACTTGAATAGGAAAAAAAAAGCACAATCTTTTTCCGGGAAAAATCTACTGAGATTTTTATAGTCTTATGATAATTTTTATACCTGATTGCGACTCTAAAAAATACTACATTTCGACTCCATTAGATTTTATATTCCGCATATCTGAATCTTACGGTGGATCTATTATTAATTTGTGCTTAGCATTTTACATTTTATTTGATAACCTGAGTTGTGCGCCTGATCCGTATGGTACATTCACAGCGCTATATCAACCTTGGCTTTATCTTTTAAACTCAAACCCACTAGACAATGGTTCTGTTTGGTTAACCTTTTTATCACCAACATTGAATAGCAGAAGATAATAAAAATTCGGTGCCGGCCGGCCTGTGCAGGGGGCAGGGAACTGTCCTTGGATCAGAAAAGTCCTGGGTTCGAATCCCGGGCAAGGCATGGATGTTACTTTCTCTCTCTGTGTGCTCTATGTTCTTTCTCCTTTGTGTGTGTGACCCGCTCTATAAACGGGATTGTTGTTGTGTGAATGGTGTGGCAGAAGTCGAATTCTTGGCCATAGATGGTGCCACTGAGAAACAAGAACATTCTCTCTCCCTCTGCTAAAACAGGCATACGACAAAGAAAAAAAATATAGAAATTCAGTGAGGGTTCCGGGATTGGAACTACGTTCACTCTCAATGTGTTGACCCAGGTTCATATCCCGAAAATGGCTGGTCGATACAAATTCTAATCCCGCTTCGTTTCGAACCGGACAAACTGGGACAGATATGAATTTGAGGCGATGTGAAAGTCGCAACCGAGATTCGAGCCTCGTTGCTTCAGTGAGAAGCTATGTCTCTGTCCTCTGTTATACTTAAATTTATGTTTTAACGTTAATTATACCAAACAATATTTCCACCCATACAAAAATTTAGAGTGTGTTTGAGGTTTGTGTGAGGTTGTTCTGAGTTGATGTTGTGTTCAAAACGAACCTTACAAAATCAACCTCCCGAGGTTTATAATCAAGGTGTGTGAATTTGTTTTATTCACGATGTAAGGAACCCTTTAAGCAAATAAATATATTTGAAGAGTGAATAACTTCTCCCAATTTCAACTAATAGCATTACAGAGCTATAAATAAGGTTGATTTTAAGAGGCATAAATTAATATTTATTGGTTAGGTTATTTTTGGTGCAGAACGTAACTTCATTTTCTACCTCCGCAGTATTTTTTAACGCCTGTCAACCTCGAAATTTATTATATTATTTTTTTTTGTAAGGGGCAATTTTAATTATTATTTGACATAAAGGTATCGTTATATATTGCTAACTTACTCAGTTTTATTTTTTTAAACGTTCTGCATGAAATTAGTTGCAAACAGTTCGCTGCAATGCAGAAGTTATTTGCTAATCAATCTAATAAAGTACTCTATTTTCCAATACTTATTTTATTTCTTGGAAAAAAGTTTAAACCTGCAATTATATTTCCTTCTTTCAATTTTTACAGTTCCACCTAAAAAACCAATGATTATGGATCAGAATGGAGAACTATTTCACAGCCTGATTGGTCCTTACAACGAAGGAGACCGACTGTTCCTTGTTTGTGAAACGGAAGGAGGTGAGTTCAATTCTTGTTCAAAGGAAGAGCTCAAAGCGTTCGCTTTCCAATGAGGTAAACCGGGTTCAAATCCCAGCGATGGCTGGTCAATATGAATCCGAATCCGGCTTGCGCCGACCACAGTGATGACGTGAAATATCCTCAGCGATAGACGACTCAAGGGTTAGAGTCTCTTTGCCTTCAGGCTAACCATGGGAGGTTCTCGTGGTTTTCCTCCCCATGTAACGCAAATGCGGGTTAGTTCCATCAAAAAGCTCTTCAAGAAGGCGAATTTCTCTCAATACTTGATTCAGGAGTTCCCTTGTCTTCCGGATTGGGTTCAAAATTACAAGGCTACGGAGTTGAACATTAGTAGTCGTAAACCCAAAAATTTGGTCGGCTGTTCAACAACGGTTATAAAAACAAAAACATCAACTTTATAAAGCATTAAAACACCAAGAATCTATTTTGTAAACGTATTTATTTTTTATTTTAAGCAACTTCAATTTAGCAATTGGTATAATAAATGGTAAAAATTTATATGGAAGTTTTTTAGCAACACTGATGTTTATGTTCAACACCATGTTCAACACAGCATAATAAAAAAATATCATAGAGCAATATTAAACATCCTCATGTGAAATAGCATAATTTAAAAGTGAAAATCAGGCACGTACTAATGTTATTATAAATATGGCATATAAAACAGCAATGTTATAGGTATTTTTTTTTTCTTTCACGAAAAAGTTGATGGTTATTTAATTTTGTTATAGAAAATTGATAAAGTTTGCTTTTATTTCCATTTATCTGAAATATTTTTCGTCAAGCTATACGCAAAATTACATGTTGAAAATGCACACATATAATAACACAATATTTGCATTTTAAAAAATATTTTAATTTTATAAACTTTATTTTATTATGAAATGTTAGTGTTTTTATAGTGTTTCTAAGAATTTAGAATACATTTTCGATGTTAAAAATTCAAAAAGTAACGTAAAAGGAAACTTGAAAACGAAAAATAATGTAAAGACGTAAAGAATTATTTGATAGGTATAGGAAGATAAGGAACAATATTTTCCTAAAAGTTTTTGTAAAAGTTATATTACTTATAGAAATTATATTTTAACGAATAATTTCCTTTTGAAAACAGCTACTTTTACTTCATTAGCTAAAAACAAAAATATACATATATAACCCTATCAATAAAATCGATAAAATTATAATCCGATTAAGAAATAAAATTATACATTTTAATGAGCCCATAAATAATAGATTTTTGGAATTATATCTATTAGTCCAACAATCTTGGTCATCTTTAAGGCCGCGTTCAGAAAAATCAATAAATTTTAAAAAAGCGTCCAGTATGTTTTTGTGTCCAATTGAGCACTACTTTTTATCTCATTTCATTCAGTGCAGCTTTTTGGTCATTGTTTAGAAGTCTTCGTTTTAAGATAAAATACATTATTACATCGAAATAAAAACAACATATTTTTAACTACGGCATCTGGTATGTTTTGGTACTTTAACGGATATTACTTATATCTGCTTTAGTTCGGCAATTTTGGTCGAATTTGAAAAGACGTTCGTAAAAACTAAACATTGTGAAAGCAACTATGGCGTCTCAAGTGTTTTAACATTTCCAATTGTTGAAAATGTTCATTTCTTAATAGCTCTTGAATTGAGCAAACTGAAGCATTACGATCGGCTAATGGAATTATAAGAAATTGCTGAAAATTATATTTGTTTAAGAGGATACCGATTTCTTGTTTGTTTTTTCTTTCTTCCAAAATTCAAATGATGTCAAAACTTTTAAAATTACGAAAAGTCTTAAAGTAATTTAGCGATCTTGCTGTTCTCCGAGGCTTTTGAATTAGCAAAAGGAAAATATGTTCTAAGTAGTAAAGAATTAATGTACCGGGAGGATTCAAATACGTTTCAATAAATCTTGATTAAAAAAACCTTTTAAAGTAAAAACATTAAACACATTATGTTTGCAAAATGATGTAGAGAAAATTAAAGATTTAATAGGGTAAAAATTTTAAATTTTTTTAAATTATTGTAAAAGGTTTTTAATAATTGAGGTTCTTTTCTAGAAACGCAAATATCAAATAAAGTCTCTAAATTCGACAGTTTTATTGAATAGTTTTAGAAAGAATATTTTAATTTGGAATCGTTTCTAGTCAAGTAATTCTTTTAAATAAAGTCATTAATTTTAATGAAGTTTATCTTATGATTCCCACAGAAACGTTAATACAAAAATTGTTCATGTCTTGCAACTAATTAAGTGACACGTTTGAATTTTTCTCAAAGAAAATGAGTAAATTAGGTTTCTGTAAAGACAATTTTGGTTTTTAACTTTTGTACATTGATAACTATAGCTAATAACATTATGCTAATGCACACTTTTAAACCTTTATTTAAAATGTATTTTTCAAAATGTTTTTCGTTTTGATAGACTTGTATACATCGCTGAACATCAAAATAAGTTGCAAGCGTTAAATTCCAAAAATAAAAGTTAATTTTTAGAAATTATTAATATTTTTACTGCATTAATTACCTATTTCTACATGCATGATATAATATTTTCAACGTGTTTTAGATAATGTAGTACAAATTTAAATAAATGGTAATCAAGAAGCAAATTACTAAAACGATATTTGTTCGTTACAAGCGTATTCCGGTTACGCAGTGGGCAAAGGAGGTGAGCCGGGGGCTTTCAGTTCGATCCTGGCAGTCGAGTATGCAACTAGCAAGGTATTCGCGGCAGGGAAAATGTTAAATATGTCGTGCCTGAATGTTCACTCATTGGATATGTGATATCTGAGTTTGGAAAAAAGGGTACCAGTTCGGGCACTTTCCACGTCGTCTGACTGTCGCCTTGGCGACCCAAGGCTGTCAGATGATAGAATCCTAAGAAACGCGGCTAGGGGCTTGGCTATAGTTGGGTGATACATGCATTTAATTATCAAAGTATCTGGCACTTCGATGTACGGTTATCCTATCTAATACATAATGTGATGTGGGATGAACCGCTGCTTAGGGGATAAAGCCCCGCTTCCCAATGAAATGACCCTTCCCAATGAAATGGACTTAAATTATGATAACCCATAACAAATCAATACCTCTGGGGGGATTGATCGTTTCCTGGTTGAGATCCAAAATTACGATCTGTGGATGAATAAATGGATGTATTCATCCACATGGATCCACCCTCTAAACCGGACTGTGACGTGTGTGTGAAAAAAAAGAAACGTAAGCTCCGCCTTAAATTTGCTTGGTTTCACCAAGCAGGCTTGATAATATTGGCAAGTAGCATTAGAAACAACAACAACAGAGTGTAAGAAACGTTTGTTGTTTCTCGCATGACCATTTAAATAAAGCTTTTAAAATATGACGCCTATGTAATAAACCCGTTAACCAATCATTTATGAGAAGTGTGTGTTTCAGGTAAACCCACACCTTCTCTGACGTGGTGGAGAGAGAGTGTCCTCCTGGATGACAGCTACGAAGTTAGTGCTGAAGGGGTGGTCAGAAATGAAATCGAAATAACATCACTTCAGAGGCATGACCTGATGGCTGTCTTCACATGCCAGGCTTCCAACAACAACCTCACGGTACCAGTCTCCAAATACGTCACTGTAGACATGAATTGTAAGTACTTTTAACTATCATACCTAAAGCACTGTTTCCTTTTTATGCAATTTCAGATTGCATAAGCAAATTACACTAGGTTAGATATTTTTATTTCCAATGAGCTGCACAATCGGTCTTGTCGATGAGCAGACCTAAGGCTCCTATACTATCAGAGCTGACCTATCAAGCAATATTGGAGCAAAAAAGTTTGCAAGTCAGCGTTATTAGTATTGTGCTTATGTTAGCTCTTCGGAGCAAAAATAGATGATGAGTCGGCCTGTCTAATTCAGGGGCTCTAAGCAGACCTAGTGCGTTCTCCAGAGGTGGTATCCATTCTTTCAGGACCACCACAATGGGTGAGATACCGTTGGTCATAAATATATAAATCATAGGTTAGATATAAATATATGTATTACAATACATCAATTTAGTAATTCTAATGAATAGAAATAGTACTTGCTGTACGATGAAGCAAAAAGATTCGTTCCTTTGATAGAACATGATTGACTCTTTCAGAAATGGTACGATTTGCTTCCATGAAAAAATTTTAACAATGAATAATAAGCAAAAAAAATATTTTTTTGATAAATTCAATTGAATTATGTCTTAGGAAAGTTTGAAGGATACACTTAGAAGAACATTTGTCCAAGAAAGAGTCATTGAAAGGTAAGTTTCTCGTTAAAGAAAACATTGACATGTACTACATTAATTAGTGCATTTTTTCACACAAAATGTACTAATTAATGTATGTAATTAACGTAACTAATTAATGTGTAATATAACGTACTAGTTAATGTATGTAATTAATGTAACAAAATGTTTGAAAGGTATTTTGAATTGTATATTTTGTTCTTAAAGCAAAAAATTTGGAATAAAACACAAATATACAAAAATTATATACTATGGTTTCGGTTCTATAAACAAGAACTTTTCTCAGTGTCTGAACAACAAATGACAGTAGAAAAGTAACGAAACAAATATCTGCAAAGTGGTTTAATTAGTAACAGTGAGGAACAAATTTGAACAAGATAATAAAAAAAGGGAGAAACGAAACGTATGTTAGGTGTTTAGAGAAGTACTCCAGGATGCAAGATTAAATTGGAATGGATTTCCAAACGTTGGGAAAGAATGGGGCACTAGAATGATTATTAACTAAATTACTAGAATATTTCAAAATATGAAATGATTCTCAGAAATCTAAACCAGTAGTAGGATAGTAAAAATTAATGATTTTATCAAAATAAAACTCAAACCTGCGTTTATAATTTCATCTATATAGAGCGATGGAAGATAATTTAATATCCTGATTTTTCCCATATCTTTCTTGGTCTTCCAATCAAAATTTCAGGACACGTTCAGTTTGTCGAATATACGTAATTCCGCCCTGACAGGAAATTTGATAAATACCCCAGCTATTAAACCAGAACGAAATCTTCGAGACATTAATCTTTAATTTAAACAATGAATTATTATAGAATTAAAGCTATAGCATGTCATTTCTGAACCTTTGTTTATACTTTATTCACTCATCCTGCAGGATATACTTGGATCCAAAAAGTATATCCTATCTTCATTTAAAGGTATTTGCTTTTCATAAAAGTTAGAATGGAATTTATATAGTATATCTTGTGCAAATGAATAAACTACACCTCTAAAAATTAGCACCTGTTAAAAAGGATAATTTTTTTTAGTAATAGTTAGTTGCTTATTCATATTCATTAATCAAATATTCGTAAAAAGATGGAATGAAATGCATATTAACTTTAGTATGCATTTAGAATGACTTTTACTAGAAAAAAAGCACATGTTTAAATCTTTTGTTTACACTTAAAATTATTCACACAAAAACTAAATTGCACCTAATTCTCATAAGTTCTAAAATGAACTTGTGTGAATGACAACGCTTTTGATTCACAAAGATTTTCAGTTCAGAGAAAAATTAAGAAAAGTTTGAAAAGTTTCTCAAAATTTCAAAATTTTTAAATGTTTCTTTAAAAAGGAGGGAGCTTTCATTGTAATGCTTTTTAAAACCGTAACCATCTTGTAGTAAAGAACAATTTTATTCATTTAATTCCTAAAATAAGTGATTATACGCAGATAATATTAGTCACGGAAAAGAGAACTTTTTGTTTCTTTTGTGTCTTGTATGTCTTTCCTTGTTGTAAGCATGAGAATTCGTGAGCTTGGCTTCTTTTTTACAAAAACTCTCTTCATTTTATCACCTTATAGGTGGCTATCCTTTTATAAGCTCCTTTTACTACCCCATTTTGGTACTGAAATTATCTTACGGCATATTCTTTTGGAGGATGCAGATTTACCTATTGGATGTATTTTATCAAAATTAGATTCTTTAATTGCGAAGCAATTTTATATAAGCCATTATTTCTAAAAGCGGAATAAGTCCACTTTGGGAAAAATGAGTTGGTAGCAATATTCGTAGAATTTTTTTTTTTAAATTTTTGTTCGAGAGATTAAAAGAGAAGTACAGTCATAAATCCATATAACCATATAGAGAAAAAGCGTGGAGAGAAAAAATAGCAAAAATTAGAGGCAGCTGCAGTGATAGTCTATGAATCATAAAGGCTTCTGGTCCCCCAGTTGTGGTCCACAAGAGAACGTTTAGTTAAAGATCGGCAAATGATGAGATGGTCATCAACCAGAGACTGCAGACTGGACTGGATGCTGGCTGAGACGGGGCAAGTGTTTCGGAAGACAGTCATGGCCAGCGGCGAGCCTAAACTCAGTCACCATTTTTCTTCTGGACCACTTTGAGATTAAAGATAATTTGTCTTTCCATGACTTTTGACGTGTTCAAACAGCGAGGTTCTTTTTGAACTCCTAATACATGTTATTTTTGATGAATCGTTTTAATGTTCTAGAATAGGTACTGGGAAGAGATAATAGTTCTAAAAGATGTACAAGAAAGAGATAATAGTTCCAAAAGATTCACTGGAACGAGAGAATAGTTCTAAAAGATGTATTGGAAAGAGAGAATAGTTCTAAAAGATGTACTGGAAAGAGATAATAGTTCTAAAAAATGTACTGGAAAGAGATAATAGTTTTAAAAGATGTACTGGAAAGGGATAATTAGTTCCAAAAGATGTGCTGGAAAGAGATAATAATTCTAAAAGACGTACTGGAAAGAGATAATAGTGTAGAGTGAAGACACACTTTTTGTCCATTGAATCAATCAGCAATCTCATTGCTATGGATTTTAAAAAGCCCTGAGATCCACTGTAAGATATTTTTCAGACAAATAAGCTTTGTAACAGTCTCCAACATTCCACCACAAAATACAAAAAATTCAAGTTTGACATTAATTTTAGCAAGATATAGATGTCTTCTATATATTATTATAGTCATACATTCAATGCAGCATGAATAAATATTAAAATAATCAAAAAAAATTTCGCTAAAACTTTTATCCCCCCCCCCAAAAAAAAACTTTCTTTGAAGTAGTCTTATTAAACATTCAAAAATAACTGCTCATTTATATATTCAATGGCGATTTAATGATTTTAACTAGAGAATGTGTACCGTTGAGAATGAAAGATATTCAAATTTCCATTTTTAAAATCAGCATTTGTAATGAAATTTATATATTTAATTTTCGTTATTGAGATCCCCGGGGCTGAACTAGGACTGCACAGTGTCACTCTAATTCAGCTCCATGATGCTTTGTGAAGAAATCACTTTTGATAAAAGTGTGGCTCAACACTATATTGCTCCAAGATCTTCATACGTTTCAGCTTATTTAGAAAAAAATTACTTTTAAAGTCAAACCGTTATTTTTCTCTTTATTCTCTTGCAGTGATTGAATTTTTATATTAATGAATTATGTAGTTATACAACTAAATTCAAAATGATAACTACCCAGCTTAGTGTAATATTTAATTGTAAGAATGATCATCATTATTGGTACATCGTCCCGGGGTGAGATTTTCCAATCCCGTGGCATTTGACGACTCGCTCTTCTGCTTGGCGATTTTTTAAATAAAAGAAACTTAATTCTTATTTTTTTAAGTTCAGGTTAATTTAAAAAGATGTAAAAGCTTGCATTATAATTGCGGCCAAATCTTCAAAGCCAAAGAGAAAAATCCAGCCAAAAGAGAAAAATCTTCAAAAAAGAGAGCAAGTGGTTAAATGCCTCTGGATTGTAAATTTGCTGTCAGGATGGGTCTTGACTAGTCCTAAACATTACTCCATGCAGTATTTTTTAATAAATTTCTGGTTCACATAGATTACGAGAACAAAAAAAAATGTCTTTTCAATCAGCACTTAAGTAACATTTTATGTATAAAAAATCTATTCTTAGTAAACTTTTATACCTACAGTTACACAGAGTCCTTACCTACCTCAATTTACCTACAGTCTATTCTTATTCTATTCTCTGAAAATTTTTATACCTACAGTTACTCGGATCAAATATTCCAAACTAGATAAATCAGCCGGGTAACGTTAAACTCCTCAACTCTTCTTTTTAAATTCACAAAATAAAAACATAAATCTTTTGCTTTTCTTACACGGCGATTTTTGAATCCTTTCTATTAAAGCTAGATATAAATAACGAAAGCAAATAGAATACAATAAAATGAAGTGAAGTAAGTTTAAATTTGAATAGATTTTTGAAACGGAGTCTTTGATTTAAACCACGGATAAAAGATTTAGAAAAAATATTTTCTTTCAGATTTTCAAGAATTTTAGAAAGTTCGCGTTGTTTGAAGAATACCTTTTATTTTTGACTTTTAAGTTTCGTTAGATCAAAAAATGAAAAAAATACACAATACAGTGAAAAACCACCAGCTTCTTTAACAAAAACTTGGTATTTGATGTGCTTTAAAAGTTTTTCGAGCTTTTAGCCAATTTTTTGTTGAATACATTTTGCACCCATTCTCTCTTTTGTTTTTGAAAACTGTTCTTCAGAATTGTTAGCCTTTTTTTAGTGGTGAATATTCAGAATACTTTCCGCTGGGATGCATAATGGAACTTTCCGAAAAACGCGCTCAGAGAAGATGAAC